TTGCCCAAGATCACTCAGTCCACAACCGATAGAGCTGGAATTTACTCCAAAGTAAATCTGATTCTTTGAAACGTTTGCCTTTAATCACCATGTGAACAGAAACATCAATCTCCTTTTTAAGCTGCATGTTCTTTCTGTATTGACAAGAGCTAGGTGGCCAGTATAGCAAACTCCGTGTTTGAGGGTAAGGACTGGTCTTAGGTGTGAGGTCTTAACTGAACCCTCTGAGTCCCACTTGTAAACATTTTCCCATGTCCTCTGACTGGGAGTTAGTGAGTGAATGCTAGCTTTTATGGAGCGTCTAGATAGTTTACATTTATTTACTCTGTAATTCACAAAATTTCTTCCTTCTCATCTCGATCATAATCAATACATTGGAATTATGAAGAGATTATCATTTTTAACTTTTTTAAGTGTGAAATAAAGTACACAGAGGTTATTTTTTGCTACTTAGAGCCCTTATTTACCCAGCTACTTGGAACAAGCCTGAACTTGATCTCAAGTATTCAGGATGCCAGCCTCACCTTGTTGCCTCTGCTGAAGGCCTTTACCTAGGGCTTAGGATTTCCTGAATGAGTCCTGAATCAGAGACAACACACACCCCACACATCCACAAACATTGTTCCTTTTCAGGTTTGGAGTGTGGTTTCTTTTAAATAAGAATCAGGACTAAATTAACTTGGGTTTTTTCCATAAAATAAATAATAAAATTAATGATATGATGTGCAAGTAGATTCAATCACATCCTTAATTATGTTACATGTAAATATTAACATAGAGTCTTTGAAAACCAAGCGACACGTAAAGGGATCTTTCTTCACGTGACATAACAACTTTGTTTCTGTCTTGGAACGTGGTGTACTGCAGTTATCCTGGGACAATGTTGAAGACCAAGTTCTAGGGTGCTTTCTCAGGCTAAACAATCCATCAAGTTCCCTAAAATTGCACCAGGAAGCATGGAAACTAACACATTCAAATCTTAAAACCATTCTACTCTATTTGATAAACGGCATAAAGGGTTGGGATAAATTTAAACTCACTAGTAGTTACTTATAAATGAAGGTTACAAAATTGAACCAAAATATCAATTAGATCTTCTTATGGATTAACTAATCAGCCACTCACTTTTTCTGTTGATGACACAAATTATTTGAGTTTTGAAGAAAAAGTCCTCTTTATCAGCATTTCACCATCAGTTTCATTAAAATGTTAACAATTCTTTGAAAAATTCTTTAGCAAAAGCAATGAAATGAGAGTTCTTGTTAAGATAGCTACAAGAATGAGAATGTTAATCAGGCTCCCTGACTTCAGACTATACTACAAAGCTACAGTAATCAAGACAGTATGGTACTGGCACAAAAACAGAAATATAGATCAATGGAACAGGATAGAAAGCCCAGAGATAAATCCACACACATATGGTCACCTTATCTTTGACAAAGGATGCAAGAATATACAATGGAGAAAAGACAGCCTCTTGAGTAAGTGAAGCTGGGAAAACTGGACAGCTAACATGTAAAAGAATGAAATTAGAACACTCCCTAACACCATACACAAAAATAAACTCAAAATGGATCACAGACCTAAATGGAAGGCCAGACACTATAAAACTCTTAGAGGAAAACATAGACAGAACACCCTTTGACATAAATCCCAGCAAGATCCTTTTTGACTCACCTCCTAGACAAATGGAAATAAAACCAAAAATAAACAAATGGGACCTAATGAAACTTAAAAGCTTTTGCACAGCAAAGGAAACCATAAACAAGATGAAAAGACAACCCTCAGAATGGGAGAAAATATTTGCAAATGAAGCAACTGACAGGATTAATCTCCAAAATTTATAAGCAGCTCATGCAGCTCAATATCAAAAAAACAAACAACCCAATCCAAAAATGGGCAGAAGACCTAAATAGACATTTCTCCAAAGAAGATATACAGACAGCCAACAAACACATGAAAGAATGCTCAACATCACTAGAGAAATGCAAATCAAAACTACAACGAGGGGGCTTCCCTGGTGGCGCAGTGGTTGAGAGTCCGCCTGCCGATGCAGGGGACACGGGTTCGTGCCCCGGTCCGGGAAGATCCTACATGCCGCGGAGCGGCTGGGCCCGTGAGCCATGGCCGCTGAGCCTGCGCGTCCGGAGCCTGTGCTCTGCAACGGGAGAGACCACAACAGTGAGAGGCCCGCGTACCGCAAAAAACAAAAACAAAAACAAAAACAAACAAACAAAAAACTACAACGAGGTATCACCTCACACCAGTCAGAATGGCCATGATCAAAAAATCTACAAACAATAAATGCTGGAGAGGGTGTGGAGAAAAGGGAACCCTCTTGCACTGTTGGTGGGAATGTAAATTGATACAGCCACTATGGAGAACAGTATGGAAGTTCCTTAAAAAACTAAAAATAGAACTACCATATGACCCAGCAATCCCACTACTGGGCATATACCCTGAGAAAACCATAATTCAAAAAAAGTCATGTACCACAATGTTCATTGCAGCTCTATTTACAATAGCCAGGGCATGGAAGCAACCTAAGTGTCCATCAACAGATGAATGAATAAAGAAGATGTGGCACATATATACAATGGAATATTACTCAGCTATAAAAAGAAATGAAATTGAGTTATTTGTAGTGAGGTGGATGGACCTAGAGACTGTCATACAGAGTGAACTCAGAAAGAGAAAAACAAATACTGTATGCTGACACATATATATGACATCTAAAAAAAAAATGGTTCTGAAGAACCTAGGGGCAGGACAGGAATAAAGACGCAGATGTAGAAAATGGGCTTGAGGACACGGGGAGGGGGAAGGGTAAGCTGTGATGAAGTGAGAGCATGGCATGAACATATATACACTACCAAATGTAAAACAGATACCTAGTGGGAAGCAGCCACATCTCACAGGGAGATCAGCTGGGTGCTTTGTGACCACCTAGAGGGGTGGGATAGGGAGGGTGGGAGGGAGACGCAAGAGGGAGGCGATATGGGGATGTATGTATACGTATAACTGATTCACTTTGTTATACAGCAGAAACTAACACAACAATGTAAAGCAATTATACTCCAATAAAGGTGTTAAAAAAAATTAAAAAGCAAAAAACAAAGAATGAAAGAATTTTTTAAAGAGGTAGACTTGAGTAACAAGGTAGCAAGGAGCTCCGTATAAAAAACAGCAATATATTACCATAGTGACTCTCACAGGAGTGGGAGGGGCCGGTGCACAGTTTGGAAAAGTACATTCTTGAGTAGGTGAGAGCCAAGGGGAGTGAAAGCTACCACCAGATGAAATTAAGTATAACTTATAGTTTGATTTATCTGTGTAGCAAATGAATGCCCAGGAGGAGAAAAAGAAGTTGGGAAACACTGATGTAAATCATCAGATTATCTAGTAAAGATAGACCTTTTTTCCTCAAAAAAATGAAACAAAACTTGTTTAGTTTGAAATACTTTATTTTCATGTTTTTTTTAAATCAATAAATATTTAAACTTCTCTTTTATAAGATATAGAAAAGCACTGCATAATTAACACTAACAAGGCATTATGCCTTACAAGAAAGACATAAAATGTCCAAAGGATATTTAGAACATTGTAGTTCTTAAAGCGTCAACATGAGAAATGCTGACCACATATTGTGAAATCATTTCAATAAATAATAACTAACATTCTTTTAAACATTTACAAAAATAGATGTACACATACATCCCCCCATGCTGACAATGACCTCACTATTTGTTTGGATGCCCCAGTCTCTGTCACAGGGGCTGGCATGCTGTGGGCTCCTCAGAAATATTAGTTTAATGACTGTAGAATATTTGCAACCCTTCTACTTCAAACTAGATAAGAATCAGGACTAAATTAACTGGGTTTTTTTTCCATAAAGTAAATAATAAAATTAATGATACGATGTGCAAGTAGAGTCAGTCACATCCTTAATTATGTTACATGTAAATATTAACAGAGTCTTCGAAAACCAAACAACACATAAATAAATAAATAAGTAAATAAATAAGTGGGAGAACCCTCCTAAGAGATGTTCAAACATATTAAGCCCGATCCAGGTGGCCTCAGGAGCTGGCGATTCCTCTTTTTCCTCTTTGATCCCTGTAAGGACAGGGCCTACTTCAGGAACAGCCATCGAGGAGCTTCCTCCTTCGCCCCTGGTCAGTTGGATCTGTCCCTGTAAGGAGAAAAGGTCTTCCTTACTAGCTGCTCCAGAAAGCCGACTGCACAGCGCTCTTCTCCTGTCCTGCTCCTTGGTTTCCAGAGATTTCTGAGTCCAGTCTTTCCAGCCTGGCACCAAGTGACTACTGCCTGTAACCCACTATTCTGTGTGGCAGAGGCCTCTAGGCTCTTGGAGACTCTTTTTTAGGAATGAGGGTGGGGCCTGTGCTCTCCACTGTATTATTGGCTATATGGGCGACAAATGGCCAGGATTACTCTCTCTACCTGTCCCACAGGGCCTAACTTAAGCGACAGAGCAAACCGATTTGGTAGCTACTATTGTTTTCCTTGTTTTACTAAGTCTTAGATAAACCAAATAATTGTCCTTGAGTCACATGGCTAATAGGTGCTGGAACCCAGATTTGTACCCAGTACTGTGTCACTGCAAAGTCCCAGCTCTTCACCACTAAGCTTTAGTGCCTATGTTGCAGAAAACCAGGGCTCTTCTTCCCGGGTGTGAGGTCCAGAAAGAAGTGGAAGAAAAAAATGCCTGTGTTTTTTAAACAGGTGGAAAGCTTTTCAGCATAACTGTCCATGTTAATGAAAGCAGCTTAACCCACATTCATTTGAATGGGGAGAGTCAGGGGCCAGGATGGAAGGCACTGAAAATATCCTGGCAACAGAGCAGATTAATGATCTTAATGGCAAATTTAATTGTGGAATAATGGTTTTTCAGTCCTTCGGCTAAATCCTGGGTTTCTCTGATATAATTTTCAGGAGGCAGATGCCTGACTGTATTCACACGTGTGAATAAAAACCATAACTCACTTGTTTAGCATCTTGTTGATGATTTTTTTAACCATGGGAGCTTCAGGGTTGAGACAAACTTCCTGACCAGTCTTGAGAGTGGCTCTGCAGAGAGAAGGGAGAATCCACGTGAGGTCGGGCTGGGGGTCGGGGTGGGGTCGTCGGGAAGGCGGGGGTGACAAGCACAGCAACAGCGGCGGCACTTACACGACTTCCGTTTGGCCGCAGTGGGGTCCTGGGGGCGTCACCTTCAAGCTCTGGATGTTCTTGAGGTGAATCCCCTGCAAGGTCTGCAGGCACCGGCAGCGCAGTTCGGTGACCACAGGCGCCCCTGCGGGGAGGACAGGCTCGGTCAGGGGGCTGTCCCGGGATGGGCCCCCACCCACCCCCGTCCCGCCCTGGAGATGCCGGGCGCCGGGTCGCACCTGCTGCGCGCCGGCCGGCGGCCACCAGGACCAGGAGCAGCAGCGCGGCGCGGAGGAGGCGGGCGGCGGCGGGGGTCGCGGCGCGGGCCATGGGGTTCAGCTCGGAGGGTCGCTGCCTGCGGCGGGAAGGCGGGCTGGAGAGCTGGCGGAGCGGATTCTGTGGCTCCCCGAGCCGGGCGAAGCCCTTTTATCCCGATAGGACAGGGGCTGGCAGCCCAGGGCCAGGGAAATTCCCCGACGCACTGGCGCTCCCGGGTCCGGAAGGAGGGCGCGGCCCCGCGGCCCTCCCACGTAATCCGCGCCCTCGGGGAGGGCGTGGGGTGTCGTCTCTGCGCCGAAATCCCCGCAGGGGGAGTGGGTTGCCGGCACCCCTGGGGTACCTCCTGCGAGGGCGGCCGTGGGCGCCTGGCTACCCCTGGTCTGGGGGCCGAGAGCGGGGAAAGCGCTGGGGGCGGATTCGCGAGACCCTCACAGGGGTGGAGAGACAGTTTTAGGGAGACTTCTGTTTCTTTAGTTATCAAATCTGGGAGAATTAAAGAGTAGCAAGCGGGTAGATTTTGCTTAGCTGTCTGGCCTCTAACTCTATGTATCCTGTCTCTCTACATTTCTATTTTGCTTATTTCATACCTGTGGACTGAATGCTGTCAAAAATACAGCCGACATCTCGGAATCCAGAGAAGAACGTTCAGCTTATTCCTCATGTTATATATTCTCAAATCACACTTAGAATATCTTGGTTATGTGTTCCATTTGGTGGGAACTGGGATCAGTGTCAAAAGTTGAATCCGGGGTTAATTTCAGTGAAAGTTGAGGGCCGTAACACGACCTAGGTTTTTGGGTCCTGCTCAAATTCCTTCTCTCAGCAATGTTGGAATTCCAAAATTCCCTGCAGATCTCCTTTTCCACGTATGGAGGGTTGAGTTGATCTAAGAACATGGAACTGGTGGTCACGCTGAAGCTGCGGGTGGGCTAGTCGGGGTCACCTCTTCTGGTTCTGTCCTTGGACAAAATAGCACATGGACACCAGGGAGTGCGTACCTGCTGCATAGCACGCTTACTCCGGATGTGCGCGGATGAAACAAGAAACGTCGAATCACACGTGAAACACCGTTCCATTCACTGAAGGGGGACCTTCAGTGTTGGTCTTCCTTTTTCTTTTTTTTGTTTTTGTTTTTGTTTTTGTTTTTGCGGTACGCGGGCCTCTCACTGTTGTGGCCTCTGCCGTTGCGGAGCACAGGCTCCGGACGCGCAGGCTCAGCGGCCATGGCCCACGGGCCCAGCCGCTCTGCGGCATGTGGGATCTTCCGGGACCGGGGCACGAACCCGTTTCCCTTGCATCGGCAGGCGGACTCTCAACCACTGCGCCACCAGGGAAGTCCGATCTTCCTTCTTCTTGACATAGTGACATGCCTCTCTTTTCTCACCAGGAATTTCAGTCTCTTCACCTGATGTCTTTACTAGTTTTTCATCAGAAGTTTTAGAGCTCTAGCATTGACTCAACATTAAATCTAGAGGATTGGATTCAGACATCTTGGAGACATGGAGTATGATGGGAGTGGGAAGAGGAGAAAGAAATGGCATCTGGCCCAGGGATGGGTGTCTAGGGCCCGGGCTCTGGGCAGCTCAGCTCAGTGAGGGAGAACTTGGATCCCGGCATTGAGCCACCCGGCCTGCAGCGAAGCCGCTTGCATTTAGTTGCCACCTATTACCTGCACATTGTTAAATGTTTCTTTGCCTACCCTATGGTGGTTATGAGAAATGAGTCAACGTGTGTGAGAGCCAGCAGGGATTAAATGCCTTATAAATGTTTATTAAATAAATAAAATAGAAATAGCTTTTTCCAACAGCGCCTAAGCAGAAACTCTACCTGTTGTGAATCCTTCTATATCCAAGAAACAAACAAACAAACAAAAAGTTAATGGAAAAGTTCACTCTCCAATTTTTCTCTTTATATTTAAAAAATTTCTGAGTCAGGCTTTCTGAAAGAAAGGCACAGCTACACTCTACTAGGAGATGCACTTATGTTGGGTTTTGGGTTTTTTGTTGTCGTTGTTTTTACTTTTGAGACCTATCGTTGATTTATTTTGTAGTCTTACTTTCAATCATCTCATCTGTTAGAAAAGAGTATGAATTAAAGATTCCCCATCTTATTTATTGGAAAAGGTTTTTAAAATGAACGACTGCCTTTAAAAATACTCTAGTGTTTTTCAGGATGATCCTGTGAGAAACACCGGGGAAATTAAAGGGATATTAACATTAGTATTAAGCAGTAGGAAATGAAAAATAATCTAAAGGCTATAAAATGTGGTGTCAAGCTCAGGAATAATTGACAGTTTGTGTGATCTCTCCCCTTGTTATCAATTGTTTTTTTGGATTTTATGGGAAACTGGCCCAGATATACAAAAGTTAGTCTTTAAAAGTTCTAAGATATATTGTTTTGTTTTCTAATCATAAATAATGTAGACTCAGTTTCTAAAGTTTATAAAAGTTAGAAAGGCATGAAGAGATTATTTTTTCCTCTAATCTCTCTTTACTTTTGTCTATGGAACAAACTTTAACAAGTCACTGAAAATTTGCTTTTTTCTTCAGCAAACATGGTAGCTGACCAATTAGAAGAGTACACAGGGTTCTGAGTAAATATGAAAGAGGCTGCTTCCCTTATTTAGTTGCCATATAGCATTGGCAAGTTATTAAACCTCTGTACCCACTCCGAGATGCAGCACAATCATTTTGTGCTAAATTCCAGGCTCTCTTCTAAGAGTTATATAAATATTGACTCGTTCAATCTTCCAAACATCTCTGTGATAGTATTTATTATTATCTTTGTGGTACTTTAAGGTTGCAAATAAGGAAACTGAGGTGCAGAGAGGTTAAGGAACTTCCCTAAGGTATTGAACCTTGGGACTCTTACCCAGACAGAATGGCTTTTAACCATTGTGCTGTGCTAAAAATGCTCTATGATATACGGTTAAAAATTTCCAGAGAGGAGTGATTTTTAAAAATCTGTTTATAATTCCACTAGCTGAATGTTTCAAATTTTTTTTTATTTTAAAATGCAAACACAGACAAAGGTCATATACCTCCATAGTTTGGTTTCACTAACAGCATAACTCTTTCCTGTGGCATTGATATAGCCTGTTATATTTTCTTAAAGTGTCCAATTCTGAAAAAATAGTAACTTTACCATAGAGAAATCTGGCAAACATTCCCTTATCCAAATGATGATGAAGAGCTGCTCCCTCTTGCTAGAAGAGGGTACTACCTAAGGAGAGTGGGTAGAGTGGGTAGAGTACCTATTCCTGACAAAGAGCACCAGTGAGCAGAGGCATGGAAGCTGAAAGCAGTGCAGTACGACCTGAGAACAAAAATAAGCAGTTCATTTTTGTGTTTTAACCTGGAGTTTAACAACAAGACACGGATGTATAGAGAGCAGGAGGATAGGCATGGCTCAGACACCAGAGGTTCCCTTGTCACTCAGGAGCCATTTCAAGTGTCACCTCCATTAGAAATCTCATAACTCATCTAAGTGTTTACCTTGGCCATTGGATACAGATCACATTGTGGTTTACATGCTCCCATGCTGGATTATGTACTCTGCAAAGAAACTATCATATCTTATTTCTCTTTCCATCCCCATCTTCAGTGTGAGTCGGGTTCATACTCATACTAAGGATTCGACAAATGTTTGTTGAAATAATACATGAATAAATGATTTCAGGCCACTATTGGTTTTTAAAGAATTTGGTTTGGAGATGAAAACATCATTATGACATTATGGTATCATGGAAACAAAATTTGGGAAGTCGAGAGATGAATGTATAAACCGCAAAAGAAAATAGCATGCATAGCAAAAAGATACAGATTTCAACTAGGAAAATTATGAATCATCATAAAAACTTGATATTGAGCATAATGTCCACAGTATTTTCCAGTGTTCATTATTTCCCAGTTTTTTAGCCAGAAATATTTTTGTTTTTATTTTTACCTTCTGGGCTCTGTCCATACACTCAGATAATCTTGGAGGCAGAGGATTCTGAATGATACTTATTTCAAAGGAGGGGCTCTGCTAGTGTATGACTGAGCTAGTTCATTGACTGACATTTTCGAAGTGGTTGACAACATTAAAGAAATATGACAACATTAAAGAAATTTCCACCAATTAGGTATGGTGGAAATTATGGTGGAGGTAGAGAAAGTATGGCTTTGTTGTGTGTATTTTACATATGTGTATATTATGCACTGAATGTGAATATCTACAATCAAATGTTTAATGAGCACATATTATAGCATCTGTGTGTGATTGAAGGGTGTAGATGGACAGATGAGGGGAACTCTAAGCAGATTCCCTAACAGTTACAAATGTGGCTCTAACAACAACAACAACAAAATCATATAAATCACTTATTGGGCAAATGCATGAGTGTGTTACAATGTCTGTGGATAGTTTGGTGAAATCTCTGAGCTTAACAAAGTTGGGAAGAGACTCTTTAATGTTCAACCAATTTTCTGCTGGCAAGGTGCCTTATCCAGCACCCAGCTGCAGTATTACATTTTAACACTAACTGCGTTATTGTTTCATGTAGTTAATATCTGACAAACATTTATTTAGCACCTACTCCTTCAGGCATTTTTATGGAAGTGGGAATGAAGAGAGGTTAATAAGCATGACCCTTATTCCCTGATCTAAATAAGGAAAACAGATAAACAAATAATCACAGTGCAGTCTAATTGTTATTCTAATGGAGGTGTGTATAAATTGCTTTACTCCTGTTTTTAGCACAAAAAGAAGACTCTTTCTCCAACACAGCTCATAAATAAGAGCTGATTGTTCCAACACTGCTCACTGACTGCCCTGCTTTCAAGTTTTACTAACCCTCACCACAACACAGGCTACTAATAGCATAATCCCCATGTTGTGTCTGCCTAAACAAAGAAACAAATATTTGACAAGGTTATACCCAAAGTTTATTTCTTTTCCTTGTTTTAGATACACAGATAAGCCAGGCTTCCAATCACCATTATGTCCTGTGGATTTTATAATCTTATAGATATTCTGGTTGATAAACATTGTGGTTTTGTTATTTGATTTTT